ATTGCTGGAAAGGAATATTTTAGTTTTCTTCGTAAACTTTAACTATGATGTTGTTGATGTGGATCTCGTATACTTTACCTAAGTTACTTGTCCGACTAATTGGCCTATAGCTAACTGGCTTTGTTGGATCTTTATTTTATTTAAAAATTGGAATGACTTTGGCTTCCTTCCAAGCTGGTGGAAAATAGGCATTGTTCAGCGCGTTGTTGAAAATAATAGTCAGAGTTACGATGAGTGGATCAGGTAGATGTTTGAGAACTATTGATGGTATTGAGTCCGGGCCACTTGAAGTTTTATTAGGAAGCTTTTGAAGGATTTTCTTAATTGACAGTGAGCTGCAGAAGCTGAGTTGGTGTTCTAGGTTGTTACTGAGGTGAGATGATTTGTTTAGATGTGTAAATGAAGTGAAGGTAGTGCCTGTGCGTTCATTTTCATCAAGTTTGATTTTTGTTTGATTAACTGCATGGTCAATAATTCTTCTTAGTGGAGTATCGTTGTTTAAGTATCTGGGTGAGTTTATTTTTTCGTAATGATTACCAATTATATTTAATTTATCTATTGCGTTGGAGAAGGTCGCTGTTTTACGATCCAGGTCTATGGTGGCTTTGTCTAGTTGTACTAAATCCGGTGAAATGAGGTCTGAGTCTAGATTAATTATTTGGTTATCTATTTCTATGTTGCCTTTTTGTCTGAGCATCCTGTTGATTTTAGGGATAAATGCATTTGAATCACGATGATTAATTTGTCTCAGCTGTGAACCCCAATAGCTGGTGATAGATTTACCAAACTCTTTTTTGAGTTCATCTCTGACTAATTTAATTGTAGCTTTAATGTTTTGGATTTTTTGTTGGTAATTAGGCGGCTGTTGTCTTTGTAGTCTATGCAGATCTGTGATGAGTTTAGATTTATTTTTTTGTAGTTTTTTAATTCGAGTATTTAAGTATTTCAGTACACTGTCTTGTTTTTTAAAGCAGGGTACTGTTGAGTCTATTGCTGTCTGTATTGTTTTTGTAAATATTGAAATATATTCGTCTAAATCATTGTTTGTTAAGTTTTTGTCGTCCGGAGGGGGTGGGGGATGATTTTTGTCTAAGAATTTGGTAAATCTAGACCAGTTAGTGGCTTTGTAATTAAATTTTTTTGTAAATTGATTAGATTGAATTTTGTGGTTTAACTGGATCGTAAAAAGAAGTGCTTTGTGGTCACTATCATATTCTTCAGTTGTGATTTTTCCATTCACCAGGTTACAGATATTGAGGTTGGAGATGCAGCAGTCCAAGTATGAGTTGTTGGGATTGTACGAGGGTCCATCGGTTGAGAAGATTCTCGCCTGGTATCTGGGAGCCGCCTCCTTTTCCCATTTGATGATATATTTTCCTCGTTCATTGGTGAGAGTGTCTCCCCAGTCTGTTCTGGTGTTCAGGCCGCCTGCAATTATGAACGAATTATTGTTGTTATCTAGCTTAAGTTTGGTGAAAAGACTGTCCAACTCGTCTCGAAATGCTTTTTTATTATCTGGTGTGGCATATAGACTAACTATGGTGATATTTTCGACAGGATTTTCTGGATTTTGTTATTTTATTATAGTATATTCAGTGGTGGTGTTGTTGATTGACGCTGGGTAATTTATTTCTTCAAATTTAATGATGTCTCTGATGGCTATTGCTGTTCCACCGCCTTGTTTTCCTGGTGGTCTGTCAGTTCGTATGATTGTGTAATTTTTGAGAGAAATTTTATGTGTTTTTTTTAGTTTTGTTTCAGATAGAAGGATCACATCTGGGTTATGCTGATGAATCCTGTTGATCTGCTCGAGTCTGCGTTTATTGGCTTGAATGGAGTTGACGTTGACGGCCATAATTTTCAATCTGTTTTGAGCGATTGTAGTAGAACTGGTTTCTTGTCTCTGTTGCTTTTGTTGAAATTGATTATTAGGCGCCATTTGGAATTCCTAAATAATCATAAATAAATTCAAGTCGCTGTGAGTTGAAGTCAATGTTGGACATTCTCTCATTTATATGTCTTATTTCTTGCGCTAGGCCGGCTATGCAGTCTCTGAGCTCATTAGCCCAGGGAGATGGTGGTGGCATATTGAGAGGAGTATTGTTATGAGGTAACTGAGGAAAGTCAGCCTGATAATGTGTATTATTTTGTGACGTTTGGTTAGCAGTAATTTGATTGAATTGGAGTCCACTCTGGACTGGTCTGCGAACTGGGTCTGTTTATAAATCTTGGTTGGTGGGGCTTATGAGTTTCTTGCTGTTTTTCCTTGTTAGCCAGTTTTAAGTAGGGACAGCCTTGGTAGTTGGCTGGGTGGCCCTTTTCACCGCAGTTTGCGCAGGTAAGATTTTTTCTGTCATCATCTTTTCTCATTTTGCATTGATCTTTGGGATGACTTTCCCCACATTTCACGCACCTGTAATTCATTCCGCATGTTGTTGCTGAGTGACCTACTCTCTGGCACCTGGTGCATTGGATTATTTTGGGCTTGCGTAATTTTTCCCACTTGATTTTTTGGCAGCACAGTTTTTTGATGTCTGTCAGATTTTTTAGGACGCTACTAGGAGATATTTGGACTATGAAGTGTTTTTTTTCTTGCTCTTTTCTTGTTGAAAGTTTTTTGACTTTGGTTATTTCCACTTGGTTAAGGTTTAGTTCTTTGATCTCTTCTGTGATGCTTTGTTCATCAAAGATTCCAGCCACATTTTTAAGAAGGATTGTTATTGATTTATCTTCTTTTTTTGTAAAGGTATAAAATTCGACTTTGTTAGTGAGTACGGTTTTAACCTTGTCGTACGTATCATTGTCTTTGGCGAAAATGGTTTGATTTGTTTTGTTTACATAAATTGTAAACAATTTTTTATCAATATTTTCATTAGTGAGTTTATTAATGGACTCATTAATATTAGTATTGTTTATAAAAATTGGGGGAGGTCGAGATTTTGGTTTGTTGTTGGTTTGGGTGTTATTCCCAGTTTGATTTCGACTTTCACCGGTTTGTGTTTGTTGAGGTGCGCCATCTGTTTCATGGAGGTTTGCGTAGGGATTTTCTGTCTCCATTTCTGCTCCATTACCTTGGGTAGGTACTTTACTTGTTTTTCTGGGAACTTTCCATTCATCGTTGTTATGGGTTCCTGCTTTATCGGTATCTGGGTTTGAGGCTATAGATGATGATCTTGATCGGTTTAAGTTAGGCATAGCTGGTTGTTTACTTTTTGCTTTTATTGTATCTTGGAAAATTTTTTCAATTTCAAACGTTTGTAGTCGCCCTTTTCTACGAGTAATATTTCTCGTTGCTTCATTTAATCTGAGAGTATCTACGGAGTCCGATGCTGCTCTCTTTTTTGGGTCAAGAGGTGCCATCTTGGGCTAACCTCCTAATATTCTTGGCGTGGTCAGAAAAGTATTTGTTATGAGAACAACAAATAAATTAATGGCTAGTCTTTTAATTTTATTGATAATAATCGTTAATATGCACTTTGGACACTGATTTTTATATATTCACATTAGATGTTATTTTATTTTCGCTATAAGCACAATAGCACGATTGCACGATGCTTTCAGTACAGCGCTCAGAGTGAGACTAGCACGACGCTCTAACCAACTGAGCTAATGGGCCAAGATATTAGTTATATACTTCAAGTAACTATATAATCAATAGATAACGGTGAAAGTTGAAAAGTTATAATGGTATCATTGGCCTTTTTCGATAAGAACAGTATAGATTGAAGTTGATATAAAAGTAGTTGGAAAATTATTTTAAATAGTGATTTATGAATAGTATTTGATATACTTATATAATTTATACTTTTCTACGCAGAAATTTGATATAAATTTGATTTTCGTAAATCAGACTAAAAAGTTGAATTTCTCAAATTTTGAAAATTATTAATTTCGTTAGCGGGAAGTTAAATTGAACTTTTCAGTTTGTTTGTGAGAAGAAATTTGAAAAGTGTTTTTTCTTGAATAACCCTAATCCGCATTGTGACCCAACATTCCAATTTGAATTACTTGAAAATTCATTTTGAAGTAACGTCACTCCAGAAAACATCATCAGGCTTAATTCGATGTTATCTCATAAGTCGAACGAAAGCAAACGATGAACATTGAGTAGTTTGTTGCTCGGTCACTGCCTCATACTGATTTACGCAGCAGAGAAAGTCACTGTTAGGTAGAGGTCTATAAATTACGTACAAGACGTTGTCCAATGCAAATGCAATACAAATTGGACCAGGTCTCTTATTATTATTCATTAAAGACATTTATTAGCTTATCTGTTTCGTCTAGCAGTAAAAGTAATTTGTTAATTTTTCAACATATTTTATTTATAAGAATATTTGTTAACTAAAACTTTTATTATTAGAAAATAATTTTAGGCCGTTTATGGTCATAGGCCTATTTTCTTTTCTTTAAGCTATTGAATATTCTTTTAAATAGTTTTCTCTTTAGAATTTGCTGTACCTCATTTAAAGCTAAACCTTTCAGCCTAAAATTTTAAATACTATCGTAAATTTAGGGATTGAGTATCCTTGAGTTTATTTTTTATTATCTTTTTATTGCATCTGACGACGAATATTTTTTCTAATCTGTGAGGAAATTTTTCTGTCAACCATGTGCATAACAGCTGTTCTCTAACTTACTCTCTCTACCTTCAAATTATTTCTTTACGCCTACAATTTTCAACTACCAATAATTTCGCACAAATAACGTTACCACACCTATCGACCCTTTCCTCATTTCCTCAAATTGTAACCTCTGACTATATCACTTAAAACAAAATTCTTCAGTCAGTCATCTACTCACAAGACAACTATATCGTCTATCTATCAACTATTCATCTATCGACAATTTATCAATTATCTATTAATCAATAATTATTTTAAACATATCAAAAAGTGTGTAATTTTACATTATTAAGAAATATTTATCAATAAATCATTAAGAGTAAAAATTACTCCTGTGTCTACAAAATCAACAATTTAATAGAAATATCCTGACTCCAGTAAATTGTAGTTAGGAAATAAACATTATCTGAGGTCGCAGTCCTTTCAGCAGCTTATGTAAGCAACAAGACCTGCAAATGCCTTTTCTCTTTTGCTGACTGTCATTAGACATCTAAAAGATTACACAAAGTGTATAGTGTATTTAAGGTTGCGCTAAGTATTTCTTTATATCAAACCTAATTCCCTTCATATTGTTCTTCGGTTGTATAAGAACATTGATGTTGAAATGAAATAGAATAATTTTCTTCATCTCTGCGAATGTATTTTGATGACTGATTTTAACCCACAATGATTGATGGTTGTGACGCAAGTTTCAATGTTTAATTTCTCCATGTCATTCAGGTTATTTCACGTATCGATTTTTTGTAATTTTTTAATTACCTAACTCGAAAAACCGTGACTAGTTGATTTATTTGTTTTTGACACAATAAACATAAACGATTTTTATCATATCACAGAGATGCTGAAGGTAGTGTTAACAATACATTTTTAGTTCGTATCTATTGTATAATAGTTCCACCGGACCAAGTTATCATGTATTGAAGTTTAGAATTCCAGTTACATTTTGTGGTGGATACTTATCTTTTTGTAGCTTATCCGCTGATCCATGAAATTATAATACGCCGTGCTACATTGTATAGTTTGAAAAAGATGAATAGAGTTATTTGGAAACGTGAAATTGATATTTTGTTAATGAGCTGCATCTGTACCAGATCATTTTATAGAAACATAAATACATAATTTATAGAAGCGTCTGTATAAACTTCATTTATATTTAGGTATTGCATGCTTAAGCATGTTCTACTAGAGCCTAAAAATCAAGACTTCAACATTTTGTTATATTATAAATCGTCTGTGACAATGATTTTATCCATAAAATTGATAAAAAAACATAATGTCAGAAATAAAAATGTTTGTTGAACTTATTACAATTTTTAACTTCCCGCTAACAAAATCTGCGATTTGCAAAAATCGGGAAGTTATTGTTTTCACCCCATTTTGCAAAAATCGAGTTTCCATCAGATCTCGACGTTTTAAGGTCATAGGAAGCTTCCCTGACTACCCCTGTGATGTTGTCACTATGGCTGTCTGTATGTGAATCGCTTATAACTTTTGAACGGCTAAACCAATCGGAACCTCCCAAACGGCGTTCTAAAGAGTTATCTCAAACTTAGATTTCCTATGAATTCAAACCGATTTGGACCGATAGATTTTGAGAAATTTTGAAAAATCTCTAAAAAGCTAAGAAAAAAATTTTTTTTAAGTGGTTTTTTTGGAATAACTTTCAAACGGCTTTATCGATCAAGTCCAAACACTAATACGCCTTTAAGCTTGAAAAACTACGTCGATCGCCGCTAATCCGGTCAAAATCGGTTGATTCGTTCGAGACATATCGTGAACGAAAGAAAACCAAAATTAGTGTTTTTTTTACATAACATCGACATTTCTTTACGGATCGTTTTTGATGAAATAGAATAATTTTAAGAACTTAAAAAATCGCGTCGATCGCTGCCAAGAACGTAAAAATCGGTTGATTGGTTCGAGAGATATCCTCGACGAAATATTTGGAAACAAGGATTTTTTTAACATAACTCCGACATTTTTTGGAATAACTTTCAAACGGCTCGACTGATCGATTCCAAAAACTAATCAGCTCTTAACATCAAAAAACCACGTCGATCGCCGGCGGTCCGGTCAAAATCAGTTCATTCGTTCGTAAGTTATCGTGGACGAAAGAAAACCGAAAAAAGTGTTTTTTTCGGAATTACTCCGAAAATCCTGGTTTGATCAAATTAAACTTACAGATTTTTTGAGGCTTAAAAAATTGCGTCCAATGCTGCCAACTGCGTAAAAGTCGGTTCATTCATTCAAAAGTTATTGTGGTTTGAAAGTTCGAAAAATCTTGTTTTATCAAACTTCTATCAGACTTTTGAGCTCGAAGAGCTCAAAAGCATAGAAAACCTATTCATTTAAGCTCAGAGAGCTCAAAATAACACATAAATTGTATTTTTGAGCTCGGAGAGCTCAAAAACATCATTTGTGCAATTTTAAGCACCAAGGTATGAAATTAGCGGGAAGTTGCACGGATAGCCTTCAGGGTCTATCGTTTTTCTAATTTTTTTTAATTGATTAATTGTTATTTTTACACCAAAAAGTGGTTTTAATGGCTTATAGTGTGAATTTAGCAAGTCTGCATGCAGCGGTCAACACGATAACTTTTCAAAATATCAATTTTTCAACTCAATTAATTTTTAATCTCCTCATCTATCATATATTAGGAAGCCATAGAATTTAAAAGGGAGCTTAATATTGTATTGTTTAGTTATGATTAATATTTTTGACTTGGGAATCCTGAAATTTTCGATCTTTTACTGTAACCATAAACTAAAAAATCGGGAGTGAATTTTACTCCGCATTCACTCCCACCACTCGGAGTGCCGGAGTGAAGTAATTCAACACTCTTCGTTCGGAGTGAATCTGGAGTTTTTTTCAGCAGAGTGATTCCGGAGTAAATCTGGATTTTAATACGGAAAACACCCAATTACGGAGTTCTTATACGTTAATAAATTTTTATTTAACTGAAACAAGTTTTATGTGTGAAATGATTTTTTTTCGTCGGTACGAAATAAATAAATAAATAAATACATACACATATTCATAAATAACATTTGTAAAATGTACAAAATATGTAGAAAATTCATGTGAGTACTCAAATAAAAGGTCTCAATAAGTGTAATGTGGGTATGATCTTATATCATTAAAAATATCATCAGTTGACTAGATACCATGTAACTGTTTAATTAATGAAATTTTTACCGATTTTAGCTCATCCTGATGTTACACTTATCTAAACCTTTTATTTGAATACACACATGAATTTTTTCATATAAATGATATTTGTTATTCATATAAAATATATAAAAAATTTGGAAAATCCAGTGCACGACTCATAATTCTCATTTAATTAAAAAATTATAATGAAATAAAGCAAATGTGGAAAAAATATAAAACAGATGAAATAGGACGATAATGCACAAGCGCCCCCTACTGTACGTAGTGGAATATAGTACACAATTGTTACGTCCAAATTTTGGACATAAATTATTAAAATTTATTTTGGTCCTGGTATTTTTCAACCATTAGACCGGGAACCCAGAAGGATGTAGGAAAACGGTGCGGTTGTCATTTGTTGAATTTTTTGATATATAATTGTAAATTTTACATTTTAATTTTAATAACGTATATTAACAAAAATTAGTATACAAGTTTAGGTATACAAATTGAATTTTAATCATACCTGGTCGTCGACACACACTCACACAGTAAATTATTATTTTATTCTATTTAACATTTATTTTG